AGCCCCCTCCCTCCAGGTACAGATGCCACACCAAAGCTCCAGTGTCTAGAGCAGAGGGAGATGGCTTAGACTTGCATCTCATTAGGTGCAGGTGTTTAGGTGTTTCAAATGTTTGAAGCTGAAATACACTACAGAAGTCACTCTTGGTGCAGTTCATTTGCTATGCAGCTGTGATGAAGGTTTCTGGCAGCTGGACAAAGAACACTACAAACTCTTAAGACAAATGGAGCAGACCAGGGCTATCCACACTGTGTATTTGAAACAATGCCAGTATTGATGCCAACACAATGTGAATGCAATAAAAGTGATGAGCCTCTTCATTTGTATCAAAAGTTTCTAGCAGAGCTGGGCAACCGTGGCTCATGCCTATCATCCTAGCTACTTAAGAGGCTGAGATCTGAGGATCATGGTTCAAAGCCAGCCTGGTCAGAAAAGTCCCCATGAAACTCTTATCTCCAACTAACCACTCAAAAAAACAAAAAAAAAATGGAAGTGGCTCTATGGCTCAAAGTGGTAGAGCACTAGCCTTGAGCACAAAGAGGCTCAAGGACAGTACCCAGACCCTGAGGTTAAGCCCCACAGCCAACAAAAGGGAAAAAAAATGTTCCTAGCAGAGTGCCTAGTCATACCTGTCATCCTACCTACTCAGGAGGCTGAGATCTGAGGACTGCGGTTCAAAGCCAGCCCGGGCAGGAAAGTCACTGAGAGTCTCTAACCACCAGAAAATGGACCTGTGCCTCAAATGATGGGACACTAACTTTGAGCACAAAAGTTCAGGGACTGAATTCACGCACCAGGAACACACACATAAGTTGCATCACTGTTCCAAAAAATGAGAGGAGCTGGATAGAAATTGGAGAATTCCCCTTGCCGGCCTCGGCCTTTATATGGTACCACGTGACATAGATATTTGGTGAGATCTTTCATTAGAGTCAACATTGGTCCAACATTAACCCCATTGCTCGTCCTCATAGAAAAGCTCATGGAAATGTGAACTTTCAAAGAGAGAGAAGCTCATCTAATTAATTTGTCACACTGCAAGATCTTTCACTGGGGCCACATTAACCCCATTGCTCGTCCTCACAGAAAAGCTCATGGACGCCTGTAATCCTAGCTACTCAGGAGGCTGAGATCTGAGGGTCACAGTTCATAGCCCAGGCAGGAAAGTCTGTGAAACTCATAAACCACCAGAAAACTGGAAGTGGCACTGTGGCTTAAGTGGTAGAGCGCTAGCCTTGAGCTAAAGAGCTCAGGGACAATGTCCAGGCCCAAAGTTCATGACCCACGACTGACAAAAAAAGAAAGAAAGAAAGAAAGAAAAAGTTCATGGAAATGTGAAAGCTCAGAGAAAGAGAGAGACAGACAGACAGACAGATAGACAGACAGAAGCTCATCTATTTGCCCAACTGCAATACCAAACGACTAGGCTGGGAATCACCGAGGCCACTTTGTTTTTTTTTTTTTTTTTTTTAATTTATTTTTGGGTCCAGTCGTGGGGCCTGGATTCTGGGCCGGGGCGCTGTCCCTCAGCTCTTCAGCTCAAGGTTAGCGCTCTACCACTTGAGCCACAGCACCACTTCTGGCTTTTTTTTCTTTTTGCTTACATGGTGCTGAGGAATCAAACCCAGGGCCTCATGTATGCAAGGCAAGCGCTCTACCACTGAGCCACATTCCCAGCCCGCCACTTTGGTTTTGATAACTGATGCCCAAGCTCCTCCTAACTACTCTGACAGAAAGAACTCAGTGTTTGCCTGAGTACTTCCAGCGAGTCCTTCCAACATACATCTCTCCATATCATTGTTCCTCTTATTTTACCACATTATTAAGATGAACTGAATATTTGTACTCAATATGTGGAATATCTACTGCCTTAAAGGTAAAACTCAAAGGAAGAGGATATAATCTTGCATCAAACACTCAGGACCATTTTTGTGCCTCCTTGTTTGATGGTGTATAATCTTTCAAAAAGAAGGAACTACTAGAAGCTGTAAGATTACAGTACCTGGCTGACAGCCTCTTTCCTTCTTTCCCCTATCTACCTTGACTCAGTCATGCTGGAGTGAAAATTTTGGCAATGTCCACAACCCCCCAGATGTAGAAACCCAGATATGTTACATGGGACATTTTGTACATATACAGGTGACTTGCCAAGTCAATAAACCAACTACTTTATGTCTCACTATTTGTTAAATGTGGGAATGCCAAGAATTATGTTTCCCAAGTGACTATCACCAATTCCATGACTGGAAGTGATTTCCTCATCAGTTTTTGGTATATGACTAGCTTGGGAATCTCCACATTGTGCAAGGGTCACCTAACTAGGTAGTCAGAGGAGCATAAAACACTCTGGAAGTGAACCAGGTACCAGTGCTCATGCCTGTAATCCCAGCTACTCAGGATTGCTAGGCTGAGATCTGAGGATCATCCTTTAAAACCAGCCAGGGCAGAAAAAAAAAATCTGTGAGACTCTTATTTCCAATCAACTTCCAGAAAAGGTGGAAGTAGAGCTGCAGCTCAAGTGGTAGAGCTCTAACCTTGAGCAAAAACAAAAGCTAAGGGACAACACCCAGGCCCTGATCAAACCCCAGGATGGGCACCAAAAAAATGCCATGGAAGAATGCAACTGTGAATCTCCTAGAAGAGTTCCTGTTGTGTAGTGAGAAAATGGCCACATTTTGAACGGTAGAATTTTGAAGTCTTTATTAAAAGGTCGGCAACTGCATGGTGGACTCCTGTCTCAAAGACCAGCAGCCAACAATTCACTGAACACTGTTGGAAAACTGAGCAATGAAGACCAGAGGAGAAAGAAAGAACAAAAATAATAGAAACAAACTTCATCTCCAGTGGAGAGCTGAAATGGGATGCCATGGTGACTGGATTAGAGCCAGAAGACCGGAGACAGGACACAAACATAGAGACATGTGGCATGGTGGCATGGCGCCTGATCCTGGCCTAAACAGGGTTGCGTCAGGGGACAGGGTCACAGGAAACTCAAGTCCTAGGCACAGGACTGACAGGTTTAATAACCAATCAGGGGTTGGAAAGGAGGCTCAGTGATAGAGTGTTTGCCTTGCATGCATGAGGCTTTAGGTTCAATTCCTTAGTACCACATAAGCAGAAGGGGAAAAAAAGCAGGAAGTGGCGTTGTGGTTCAGGCCCCCCAAGACTGAAAAAAAAAAAACAAACATCAGCCAAGTACCCACCTTTGCTTCCAGGGATTCAGGCACGCCCATTGCCTGGGACACAAAGGCTTCTCCTTCCCCCACCGTACAGACAAGACGCCAGACCCTACCATCCACCATGTGGCCAAGATGGCAGACCCAATCTCCCCACTTCACTCCCATTTGGGGACATTTATTGGGTGTTCACTACAAGACTGGAAACACAGGCAATAGCTCTTCTGGTCAATCTTAATGACAGTGGGAGAGAAATGAGTGACCCCAAGGATTGCTTTTGGCGGCTTTGTTGCTCTGTGGAACCTCCACGTTCCCTTCCTCTCTGCCCCCCCTTAGTGACCTTCCTCCCCCTTTTGTACAAAGTCACATTGTTGTCACCTGCCCTCTTTTTTTTTTTTTCTTCTCCTTACTAGATATGGAGTCTATTCAAATGGTATATTTAAGAAGCTTGGAATTCCCGGCCCCACGCCTCTACCTTTTTTAGGAACACTTCTGCACTACCGCCAGGTAAGGGGGGTTCATCTGATGGGTCTTAGGGTCACTCAACCATCAAGATCGGAATCCAAATAGGATCAAGGTGAGAATAAACCCCTAAGGTAGATACAGGCCCTGCAGTGCCCAAGGCCCCAGGCTGGGTTAGCTGACAGGGAGGCTGACAACTGGGCTGGGCTGCTCCAGGCTCTAGGTGCTCAGAGGGGAGGAGACTCATTGTTCTGAAATTTTAATCAGTTGGCTGATAATATAATATCCAGCTTCAGACCCCAGTGAGTGACAACAGCCCACAGGTTCTGCGACTGTTACGACTCTCAAACAGACATTAGACCCAGGACCCTCAGCTTCACGGTAACCATGGTGATGGCTCTCAGCCACTGCCACCACTGTCACCATTGTCATGCCCAGATCCTGAGGGCCCTTGCTCCCCACAGCAGCTAGCACTGTTACGTCTTCTGTGCCTGCAATGTCTGCGCTGCTGGGTTCTTTAATCTTTTATTTTGTTATTAAATAACTAGACAAAGAGGCTACAATTCCATAAGTCAGGTGATGAGTATAAAGCATGCTAATCAATGCCACCAACTCTTGTTTTTTTTTTGTTTTGTTTTTTTGTACCAGTGCTGGGACTTGAACTCAAGGCCTGAGTGCTATCTCTGAGCTTTTTTGTTGAAGGCTGGTTGGCATTCTACCCCTTGAGCCACAATTCCACTTCTAGCTATTGGGTGTTTAAATTGGAGAGAAGTATCTTGGACTTTCCTGCCTGGGCTGGCTTTGAACTATGATTCTCAGATCTCAGTTTCCTGAGTTGCGAGGATGACAAGTATGAGCGACTGGCACCCAACCAAGCCTTGCTTCTTCTTCTTCTTCTTCTTTTTTTTTTTGGCCGGTTGTGGTGTCTGAACTCTGGGGCTCGGCCTGTCGTCAGCTCTTCAGCTCAAGGCTAGCACTCTACCATTTGAGCCACACCACCACTTCCAACTTTTTCCACTTATGTGGTACTGAGGAATTGAACCCAAGGCCTCATGCATGCAAGGCAAGCACTCTACCACTGAGCCACCTTCCCAGCCCCCCAAATCTTGCTTCTTAAGGCTTGGGACCTCCTTGGGATTCTTCCAGAAGCCAGGATCCACAGGAGGGTCTTCATAGACTCTCCCTTCAGCCTTGACTCTCGAACCTTCTGTCAGACTGTACCTGTGCTCCTCATGGTTACTGCCGGGCCATTCAAGAGATTCAAATCACATGGGCCCCAATGACACATGGGTTGTGACTTTCAGAAAAATAAAATAGATTTACAGGGTATTTTTTTCCCTCTCTTTCTCTCTCTCTTCCCAGGGTGTGTGGGATTTTGACGCGAAATGTTATAAGAAGTATGGGAAATTCTGGGGGTGAGTATTCAGCAAACTTCCCTTGACTTGTTAGCACACAGCTGCCTTCTGCAAGGAGGACAAGGCCAGCCCAGAGCCTTCCACCCACAGTGACATAGGGAGAGGATTTGGGCCCTCAACTCACCCGGGTCCTGAGGGTCACCAGGTGTCATGGTCAAGGGTCAGAATCAGGTGGAGGATGTTGATAGATTATGACTTTTCTCAAAACATTGATGGACCAGGAATTTCTGGACTCATTAGAAAGTGTCTTTTTACTTCTCTTTTCCATATTTCTTTTCCTTCTTGGGTCCCTTTTCCTTACATATGATTCATTAATTATGCATAATGTGTCAATTATGTATTATGTATCAGTTGTGTATCGTGTCATTTCAAATATGTATTATTCTAGTACATATTTATAAATATATGCAGGACATGCTGTCCTTCAGTTATAGAGTCACTTTTCATTAAATTTGAAAAATCCCTCCTAGACATTTTAGAATGATTGCATGCTTTTGGAAGAAAGGCTGGGAGACAGAAGTCAATAACTGGGGGAAACATGCATCTCTCTGCAAGCAGAGGTTTGATTCATTTGTCTCTTGTCTTCCACAAAGACTCTTTAGCGCAAGTTGCACAAGAATCTCTTTGCTAACCTCATCCTATTGACTTTGAAGACTTTGACTTTGACATGGTTTGTTTTTGTTGTTTCTTAGTGTGTATTAATTGTGCAAAGCCAGAAGCTTCATTATGATCTTTCTATAAATGCATGAATATGCCATAATCACATTAACCCAGTCTGTCATTTGTTTAAAATTTTTATCTTTTTATTTTTTATTTATTTTACTTTTATTGATGTATGTATTTTTGTGCTAGTGCTAGAACTTGAATTCAGAGCCTCACCCTCTCACTTGGCTTTTTTTGCTCAAAGCTGGTGCTCAGCCACTTGAGCTACACCTCCAACTTCTGGCTTTTTGCTGGTTAATGGAAGATAAGTCTCAGGCACTTTCTGTGTGGGCTGGCTTTGAACCCTGATCCTCAGATCTCAGCCTCCTAAGTAGCTAGCATAACAGGCATGCGCCATCAGCACCTGATGGTGCATGAACTTTTTATTTTTTTTTTTTGTCGGTCAGGGGGTTTGAACTCTGGACTTGAGTGCTTTCCCTACACTCTTTAGCTCAAGGCAAACACTTGAGCCACAGCACCACTTCCAGTTTCCTAGTGGTTTATTGGAGATAAGAGTCTCATGGAGTTTCCTGCCCAGGCTGGCTTTGAACCATTATCCTCAGATCTCAGCCTCCTGAGTAGCTAGGATTACAGGCGTCAGCCACCGGCGCCAGGCGCATGAACTTTTTAATTTGCCATTAAATTCAGTTTGCAGGTGTTTATTTGAGAATTTTTGCGTCTATGTTCATCAAAGTCATTGTTTCACAGCTTCCTCTTATTTATTTATTTTTTGCCAGTCCTGGGGCTGGAACTCAGGGCTTAGGTGCTGTCCCTGAGTTTTTTGTGTTCAAGGATAGCACTCTCCCACTTGACCACAGTGCCACTTCTGGCTTTTTCTGAGTTTAGTGGAAATAAGAATTTCACAGATTTGGAGCTGGGAAGGTGGCTCAGTGGTAGAGCGCTTGCCTTGCATGCATGAGGCTCTGGGTTCAATTCCTCAGCACCACATAAGCAAAAAGAAAAAAGCCGGAAGTGGCACTGTGGCTCAAGTGGTAGAGCGCTAGCATTGAGCTGAAGAGCTGAGGGACAGCGCCCAGGCCCAGAGTTCAGGCCCCACAACTAGACCTCCCCCCCCCCGCAAAAAAAAAAGAATTTCAGATTTTTCTGCCAAGGTAGGCTTTGAACCATGACTCTCAGATCTCAGCCTCCTGAGTAGCTAGGATTATAGGCATAACCACAGGCACCCAGATTTGTCTCTAATGTTAATTGATGCATTTTTTCTCTTCTTTTGTGTTTAATTTAATTAAAGGTTTCTTTCAATCTTTTATCTTTAAGAGAAGCAACTTTATTTCATTAATGCTCTGAATTGTGATGTTGGCTTATATTTTATTAATTTCACCTTTGGTCTTTATTATTTGTTTCCTTCCTCTAATTTCAAGATTGTCATCTTCTTGGTATTCAAATACACTAAGTATCTCATTGGGTTTCTGATTTGACATGTCACTGCTTTTAATGTAAGCACTGATACTTGTAAGCATCTATCTTATCCCCACTTTCATTGGATCCTACAAATTCTGTTATGCTGTGTTTATTTTATGAAATTTGAGTGGCCTCAGTGATTAGGAGCTTGCTGCATATCAGACCTTAACTTGACCTTGTTACTGTATATACTTTACATTGCATGTGGATTTTTTTTTTTTTTTTGTCGGTCATGGGGCCTGAACTCTGGGCCTGGGCACTATCCCTCAGCTCTTCAGCTCAAGGCTAGTGCTCTACCACTTGAGCCACAGCGCCACTTCCGGCCTTTTTTCCCCCTGCTTATGTGGTACTGAGGAATCGAACCCAGGGCCTCATGCATGCAAGGCAAGCACTCTACCACTGAGCCACCTTCTGAGCCCATATATGGAATATTTTTAACATCCAAGTCTGAATTCCTAGGAATGCCTCTAGAGAATCTAGCTTATTAGGTTTAACCACCTCTGTTTTTCCTTTCCTTTTTTTTTTTTTTTGGTTGAGGTGGGGACTTGAACTCAGTGCCCCGTACTTTCATTCGTTGGCTGACACTCTACCAACTGAGCCATGCCTCCAACCCCTCTGTTTTCTCAATACAGGTTGTATGATGGTCCGCAGCCGGTGCTGGCGATTACAGATCCAGACATGATCAAAACAGTGCTGGTGAAAGAATGTTACTCTGCCTTCACAAACCGCAGAGTAGGCATCCATTTTTTTTTAGCTACAAGTACTTATTTCATATATATATATATATATATATATATATATATATATATATA